GTTCGCAGCTCCCCGTGGGCTGAACTCCCCCCGCCGTCCGAGCATCGCACGCCGCTGCCCGGTTCTGCGCACCGGTAAGGAAAGCGGAGGGGCTGCGGGACGGAGCGTGCGGGATCCGGCGGCAGAGCGGCTGCGGGAGGGGGGAAGAAAAGGGGGAGCGGGGGGGCGGTGCGGCACAGCGCTCGGGCTGCGCGGACCCACGCACACGCCGTGCGGGGCGCACCGGCGGGCGGTGGAGCTGAGGGAAGCGAGGCTCCGTCTGCGGGGTCTCCGGTGGGGCAGTGCTGGGCCGCAGCGGGACGCCGGGGGCTGCGGCATCCCCGGGCTCGGCCCCGTCCGCGGCCCCCGACCTCGGCACGGGCTCTGAATGCCCCGCACTGAAGCGGCTCAGCCCCCCGCGAGCTCAGGCACAAAGCCCGGCGGTTCCCTGTTGCTTTCAGTGCCTGCTGCCTCTCCTGTGACCCCTTCCCTCCTCTTTGCCCCCGCCGTCACTGGGCAGTGCTGCTTCCCCCCTCGTCCCAGCCCTGCAGCCCTCAGGGCTTTGGGCACCCCGGGCCCTGCTGCCTCCTCCTGTGTCCCAACCTGGGGTTGGCAGAGGGAGCTTCTCCAGAGCCCCCCCGGGAAAGGAGACCTGCCGCCCCCTGCCCACTGCTCCTCCTTCCTTCTCAGGGACCCCCCGGCACGGCTGCAGCTCCAGCCCTGATCTTGGGCTGCTCCAAGTGCTTGGGGTGAGGAAATACTGGGTGAGGGGCCGGCAGGATGGGGCCCAGGATGCCCATTCCAGAGAGAGCCTTGCCGGTGCTGCTTTGGGTAGAGAGCGATGCTGAGGCCATCTGCAGCCAGGTCTGTTGTCATAAAATGAGCGGAACCGGTTTTCAACTACGAGAGGGGAGATTTAGATCGCATAGAAGGAAAAAGTTTCTTATGCTGAGGATAGTGAGGCACCGGCACAGGCTGCCCAGAGAGGTGGTGGTCCACCATCCATGGTGACATTCAGGTTGGGCTGGGGGCTCTGAGCACTGATGGAGCTGTGGGTGTCCCTGATCATTGCTGGGGGAGTTGGACCCACAGAATCACAGAGCGGCCCGGGTTGGAAGGGACCTCAAGGATGATGAAGCTCCAACCCCCTGCCACACGCAGGGCCACCAACCTTCTCATTTAATGCTACACCAGGCTGCCCAGGGCCCCATCAAACCTGGCCTTGAACACCTCCAGGGGTGGACGGGGCATCCACAGCCTCTCTGGGCAGCTGTTCCAGCACCTCACCGCTCTCACAAAAAACAACTTCCCCTTCACATCCAACTGAAATCTGCCCTCAATTCCAACCATTCCCGTCGTCCTGCTGTCATCTCCCCTTCCCAAGAGCTGACTCCCCTCCTGTCTGTAGGCTCCCTTCAGGTGCTGAAGGCTGCAATGATTCACCCCGCAGCCTTCTTTTCTCCAGGCTGAACAAGCCCAGCTCCCTCAGCCTGTCTTTGTAGGGGAGGTCTGCAGCCCTCTGATCATCTTGGTGGCTCCTCTGGACCCTCTCCAACAGCTCTTTGTCTTTCTTGTACTGAAGGCTCCAGCCCTGGATGCAGTGCTGCAGATGGGGCCTCATGAAGGCAGAGTAGAAAAGGACCCGATGGTCTTTGAAGGTCTCTTCCAACTCAAACCATCCTTTGGCTCCTCTGAAGGTCCCTTCCAGCTCTAACCACAGTGTGACTATATGAAGGTTCCAAGTGCTTGGGGTGAGGCACAGATCGCCCAGAGATGCGATGGGTGCCCCATCCCTGGTGACATTCAGGTCAGGCTGGAGTGGCTCTGAGCAGCTGATGGAGCTGTGGGTGTCCCTGTTCTTTGTGAGGGGGTTGGACCATCCTTTGGCTTTTATGAAGACCCCTTCCAACTCAAACCATCCTTTGGCTTCTATGAAGGTCCCTTCCAGCTCTAACCATAACGTGACTCTACGAAGGTTCCCTCCAACCCCAACCATTCTCTGGTTCTGACCTGCAGGCCCCAGTGCCCATGGCTCCCTACCGCATCCGTCTGTATCGTGACGAGGACTACGATGCCGTGCGCTCCCTGTTTGCCCGTGGCATCATTGAGCACGCCCCGGCCATCTACAGGCATATGCTGCGCTCCACACGGGTGCAGCTGGGGCTGCTGGCCCTGTTCACGGCCGTGCGTGCCGTAGCCGGCAGCTGGCTGCTGGCACTGGCAGCCGTGGCGCTGGTGCTGGCAGCCACCTGGCCCGTGATGCGCTCCTTCAGCACGTCCTACGTTCAGGAGGCACTGATCACTGATCTCTGCGACATCGACAGCAGCTACATGCGGGCGCCCGACTCTTGCTTCTGGGTGGTGGAGGCCGATGGGGCGGTGGTGGGAATGGTGGCTGTGGCCCCGCCACAGGACCCGGCACAGCGCGGGGAAGCCTTGGAGCTGAAGCGGATGTCGGTCAGCAAGGATCACCGTGGCCACGGCATCTCCAAGGCGCTGTGCGGGGAGGTGCTGCGCTTCGCCCAGGCGCGGGGCTACAGAGCTGTGATGCTGTACACCTCCATAGTGCAGGTCGTGGCCCAGCGGCTGTACGAGAGGCAGGGCTTCAGGAAGGTGGGTGCCAGCAGCCCCTCGCTGCTCGCCAGCCTGGTCTCCTTCCAGATCTTCCAGTACCGCTGTGAGCTGCCCGGCCGCCCCTAGGGCCTTCCCTGTTCCTGTAGCGCTGAGAAATAAACAGAGACTGTGGGAAGGGTGTGATGAGCGTGTCGTGGCCGCCGTGTGGCCGTGCCCGTCGGTGGCATCGTGCCTCCACGTGGTTCCTGCCCGGCCGTGAGCTCGGCCCAGCGTGGCGCCGCGCTGCTCTGTCCATCCCCGGGGCCTGCCCAGCCCCGCGTGGCACCACCGCACTGTGGCGGCCCACAGTCGGTGCTGGGGGGCCTTTGGGGCCGCTGGGCCTCGTGCTGTGCTGTGCCCCCGCCGGCAGCGCTGTGCTGCGTCAGTGCAGCGCGGGCCGGGGAAGGCGGAGGCATGGGCAGGGCCTGTGGCTCCTGGGTCCCGTCCTCTGCCGTCCCAGAACATCGGACCGGATTCCCACTGAGCTCTGTGCACAAGGAGGGCGAGTGGGGACGGGGAGTGCTGGTGGCTGGGTGAGACCGGCCGCAGGACGCGGGCTGGGGACAGGACGGGCTGGGATGGCGGCTGCGGCCTGCTGCGGCCTTACTCAAGATGGCGGCGTTTCCCCTTCCCTCTGGTCCTGCCCTCACTCAAGATGGCGGCGCTTTCTCTTCCCTCTGGTCACTGCCCTCACCCAAGATGGCGGCCGCCGTGGCGTCGGTCGTCACGGGGAGGGCGGAAGCGCATCCTGAACTGTACCCAGCCGAGCGGAGCGGAGCCGCCGGGAGGGCCCGGCCCCGGCCGGCACCATGGACTGCTACACGGCCAACTGGAACCCGCTGGGCGAAGAGGCCTTCTACCGGTGGGGAGAGGGGGGGGGCTGGGGCCCGGTGACGGGGATCTGGGCCTGGCGGGGCGGTCTGGGGCCTGGTGGGAGGGGGTCCCGGGGCGGGGGGCTGGGATTCGGTCAGGGCTCTGGGCTCTGGCCGGGCTCCGGGCCCTGGCACCCCCTCTTACTGCTCTGCACTGTCTGTCCGTTTGTCCGTCCGTCCGTTCGCCTGCCCGCAGCAAGTTCGAGCTGTACACCATGGAGTGGGGCCTGAGGGAGGACCTGCGGGACTGCCTGGTGGCAGCTGCGCCGTACGGCGGGCCCATAGGTAGGGCCGGGACCCCGCGGCGGCCGGCGGGGTGGGCCGCTGTGCCTAACGGTGTGCGGCCGGGGTCCGCAGCCGGCTCAGGGGCTGCCCCGTCCCAACCACAGCTCTGCTGAAGAACAACGCCAGGAAGGAGAAATCCCCCAGCGCCCGCCCGCTGCTGGAGATCTACTCGGCCTCGGGGCTGCTCCTGGCCAGCATCCCGGTGAGTTGCCTGGGCAGGGCTGGAATCCAGCTGTGCGGGGGCTGCTGCCCACCCTGTGCTCTGGGCTGTGCCCTGTGCCCTTCCTAGAGGTGCGCAGTGTTCCTCGGGGTGGACCTGCCCCGGCTGCAGCCCTTGGACGCTGAGCTGAGCCCTGGGCAGGAGGGTGGCTGTGGAAGGAACGGCGCTGCTGTGCCCCAGAGCTTCGGCCTGGTGCTGTAGTTCGTGGCCGGGCTGTGAGACCGGCTGCTGCCTCAGCCTGTGCCACTCGCCTGTGCGCCCTGGGGCAGCTCCTCTGGGCTGCCTGCAGGGAAGCATGGTGCTGCCGCGCGTCCGCAGCGCCTCAAGATTTCAGAAGCGGTGGTTCTGTGCAGTTCTTGCAGCCCCCGAAAGCTTTGGTTCTCCAGCTGCTCAAAAGCAGTGCTGTGTGCAAGGGTGTTGGGAGACTGTAGGGGGAGGGAGGCACCCGGACTGGGAAGAAGAGGACAGGGTGGGGATGGGGAAAGCAGTGCTGGAGCTGTGGGAGTGTCCTCCCTTACCCACTGTCTAGAGCTGGGGAAGATATGAAGAAACAGCAGGAGGGGTAAGAAGCTGTGTGTAGGAGGCTGCGGTCCGGGGTACCAGAACTGCAAATGCTGAACTGTAGCCACTGGCATCATTTGCGTCTCCTGGAGCGGCAGCTTGGCAGCTGGGAGGTGAGCAGCAGGCACTGATCAGTTTCCTGCTTGCAGTGGAAGAGTGGCCAGCTGGTGCAGCTGGGCTGGACAGCCAGCGAGGACCTGCTGTGCATTCAGGAGGATGGCACTGTTCTCATCTACAACCTCTTCTGCGAGTTCAAGCGTCACTTCAGCATGGGCAACGTGAGTGGGGCAGGGAAAGAAAGGCTGGGGAGTTTGTCACCGTGAGGTCCACAAAGTTGGATTTGTATGTTGGAGAAGTGCTGCAAGGCCTCTCTGAATGATGCCAACCCAGTAGGGCTGAGAGCTCCCCAGCCTCCCTGCAGGGCTCTCCCTTTGGGTGTGAGCTGGCACGTGTCCCAGCAGCACAGGAGCACGACCTTTTTCAGCTGGGATGCTGCTGGCTGCATGGCACAGGGCTGGGCCATCCTCCCTGGGACAGTTTTGCCCCCAGAGCCTCGGTGCCTCTCCCAGCAGCGTGGCGCTGTGCCCTGATGCCCCAGCCTGGGCCCTTCTTCTCCATGGCACAGGAGGTGCTGCAGAACCACGTGCTGGAGGCGAAGGTCTTCCACACAGAGTACGGCACTGGTGTGGCCATCCTCACTGGAGCGCACCGCTTCTCCTTGACCACCAACATCGATGACCTGAAGCTGCGCAGGATGCCCGAGGTGCCAGGTGTGTCTCCTCCCCGCTGCTCCACGCTCTGCCTGGCACAGGGTCCTGATGTTGGTTCCTGCAGGTCTGCAGAAGCCGCCCTCTTGCTGGGCTGTGCTGACCCAAGATAGAGTGACCATCGTCCTGCTGGCGGTCGGCCAGGACCTGTACCTGCTGGACAACACCTCCTGCTCTGTGGTGGTGAGTGAGCCACGGCAGCGTCAGCGGGGAGCAGGGTGATCTGCAGCTTCCAGTGCCTCCTGGCAGGTCCTTCCCCCACACCCTGGCCAAGGACAAAGCTGTGGAGATAAGGCAGACGCAGCATGGGAGGGGACAGTCACGCTTTGTCCAGCTCTCAGCCCCTTGTGCAGCGTTGGTGCCAGCATGTAGCTGTGTCCCTGACCATTCCTGTCTTTTTCCTCATCCCAGACACCCCCTGGCATGAGCCCCTCCGCTGGTGCCTACCTGCAGATGGCCGTGTCCTTCAACTACCGCTGCCTGGCACTCTTCACTGACACTGGCTACATCTGGATGGGGTTGGCCACGCTGAAGGTGAGCGTCCCTTTCCCTCCCCACTGCTTGGTGTCGGTGGGAGCCCACCCTGCTCTGTGCTCCCCCGCTGCCTCTCACAGCCAGACCTGGTGGCATTCCAGCAGTTTCTCCTTCGGTGCCTGTGGATGCTGCAGCCCAATCTTCCTGCTGTTCACAGGCACCTGTGGTCTGCCATCAGAAAATCCACTCTCCGTTGCTTTTTTCACCCAATTTTATACATTACTCCTCACCTTTTCCTTTTCCAAATCCACATTTTACTGGACTTGCGTCTTCCATTCTACGTCCAAATACCTCCCATATAAACAGGCTGCTCCTGATTACTTTTTCCACACCAGATTCTGTTGCATCCATGCCCAAACTTGGTGGTCCTGATATTGTTTTGTAGCAGGCTCAGCCATATCATCACAGCTGGTGTGGCCACTCACGTACAAGTGGTCCATTCTGGTTCATACTGGTGATGTGCTGGTTGCCTTGCATACTCTTTGAAGCAAATCAATGTCTTTTAGACTTTGTCCATTTTTCTGATCTCAATTGAGCACAAGCAACTTTCTGCTTTATGTACAGGTGGGCTGCTTGCCAGAGCAATGGGTGAAAGTTTACAATGACTGTTTACATGGTTGATAGTAATAGAACAAGGGGGAAACGGGGAGGTTTAGGTTGGATATTAGGAGGAAGTTTTTCACCCAGAGGTGGTGAGGCACTGGAACAGGTTGCCCAAGGAGGCTGTGGATGCCCCATTCCTGCAGGCATTCAAGGCCAGGCTGGATGTGGCTCTGGGCAGCCTGGGCTGCTGTTTGGCGACCTGCACACAGCAGGGGGTTGGAAGTGAATGAGCACTGTGCTCCTTTGCAACCCAGGCCATTCTATGATTATGAAAGTTTCTCATGCTCAGTCTAACTACTGGCACGGCATCCTTGACCTTTGTCTGCAGCAGCCATGGCCCTGGCTCCCTCTGGGACTGGAGAAGTGGCCAGGTGCTTCTGCAGGACACGTGCCCTGTGCTGCTTGTCACCTCCTCCTCGGTGCATGGCTCCAGCAGCTGCGCAGTACCACCTCTCCATGTGCCTTCTCCTCCTTGACTCTTCTCTTTCCTTCTGCAGGACAAGCTCTGCGAGTTCAACAGCACCATCCGATCTGCACCCAAACAGATGGTTTGGTGAGCATTTTCCTGAACTTCCCCACCTCTGCTTTGGGCTGTGCCTTCACCTCTGTATGCTCGGCCCTTCTCAGGGTCTGTTCAGCTCTGCAACTGTGCTGGGATGAGAGGGATCGTCCCTCAGGTCCCCACTCCAGGCACAGGGCTGGGGTAGGTGCTCCCCTGACCACGCTGGGGTTCCCTGCAGGTGCACACGTCCCCGCAGCCGGCAGCGTGCCGTGGTGCTGGCCTGGGACCGGCAGCTCATGGTGGCTGGGAATTCCACGGAGTGCATCCGGTATCCTTTGGGGAGGAAGGGCTGTTGCTTCTGCTGTGCGCCTCCTCAGGCCGCAGTGGTGAAAACCACTCCTGTCTGGGCCCCCAGACCCCTCGTTCCCCTTCTGACTTTCCCAGTGGAGAGCAACCCACCTCCCCCACAGCTCTGAGAGCAGAGCTTGGCCACAGAAGCCTGTGCGGCTGGTAGGGCTGTGCCAGAGCCCTCTGCTGATTCCCCAGGGGTGAGAGCTGTCACAGTGGGACAATCTCTGTTCCTCTAAAGTGGCTGGAAAGAAGGGTCACGAGGCACGGCCCTTTGGGGATGGGGCAATCAGGGGTTTGTTCCCTGGCATCTCTGTGGCTCACGTGCTTCTGGCAGAGCTGGGCTGCAGCCAGCAGCTGCTTTCTTCCCATGAGCCCTTAGCGGGAGGTACAGATTTGTCCTGGATGAGGACTCCTACCTGGTGCCAGAGCCAGATGGGGTCCGGATCTTGTCCCGCACCTCCCATGAGTTCCTGCACGAGATCCCAGGTGAGGCATTCTCTGGGTGAAGCCAGACAATCCCAGCCCTGCACAGGGAGGGCACTGGCACAGGATCTCGGATCCCAGAGCTTACAGAAGGGTTGGGAGAGAGCAACACCTGGCTGGGTGCATCTGGGCTGGGGCAGCCTCTCATGCTGGCTTTTTTTTTCACCCCCTTCCCTGCAGAAGCGAGCCAGGAAATCTTCAAAATCGCTTCCATGGCACCAGGGGCACTCCTGCTAGAGGCACAGAAGGAGTATGAGGTTTGCCACCCCGTTCTGCTGCACACCTGCCTCCTCCCTTGGGCTGCCCCAATGCAAACCCAGCATTACATCCACTGTGATGGGAAAGGAGACGGCCTGGAGGTCCCTGTGGGGGCACGGTTCTGGTGTGCAGGCAGCCCCTGCTGTCCCTTTGGCTCCAGGCACCCAGCACTCACCCAGGCTCTAGTGTCCCACGTCCCACAACTCACCTACAGGCTGTGCTTCTTTGCAGAAGGAGAGCCAAAAGGCAGATGAGTACCTGAGGGAGATAAAGGACCAGAAGCTGCTCCCAGAAGCAGTGAGCCAGTGCATCGAGGCAGCCGGCTATGAGCATGAGCCAGAGACTCAGAAGTCCCTGCTGCGAGTGAGTGAAGTGGGCGCGGAGGCTCTGGGTGAGGCTGAAGCTGTTCCCCTCCTGCTGGAGGCTCTCCCATGGCCCATCCATCCCCAGAGCCCGCACGTCTCCTCTTGCAGGCAGCCTCTTTTGGGAAGTGCTTCATCGACAAGTTCCCCCCGGAGAGCTTTGTGCGCATGTGCCAGGACCTGCGGGTTCTCAACTCCATCCGGGACTACCAGATCGGCATCCCCCTCACCTTCACCCAGTATCCTCCACGGGTCAGGAATGAGGAGTGACTTGGGGTCTGGCAGGCAGTGCGAGTCCCCTGCCATCAGTGCCAGCCTTGGCCAGGGAGCTGGGATGTAACAGGATGGGGAGGGGTGGCCTCAGATCAGCCAGCCTTCAGTGCTCTGCTACCAGCTTGCACCCTGGGCCCCAGAGAAGGTCAGCCTCCTGCACTCACTGCACGGTGCTGTGCCCAACCCCTGCCCGTGATGCTGAGCCCATGTCATGGAGCTGAGCCGGCCCTGCACTCAAGTGCCAGCCATGGAGGTGCTGCCATGAGGGGGTGGGCACCCAGCACGCATTGCCTGCCCTCAGCAGGGTCGAGATGCCCTTGACTGTTCTGCAGATACAAACGACTCACCATTGAGGTCTTGCTGGACAGGTAAGACTTGCTCCAAACTGGGCTTGATAGCCCTGTCCCTGAGCAACCCAGGCTGTGCCCAGTCCCAGTGCAGTCCTTGTGCAGCCTCTGCCCCCCCGGCTGGTGGCTGAGTGAGCTCTGAGAGCTTGGGACCCCCCTGGGGCTGGCTGAGCTGCACGGCTGCTCACACAGCATGCTGCTGAGCTCCCCTGTGCCCTCCAGGCTGGTCCTGCGGCGGCTCTACCCCCTGGCCATCAGGATCTGTGAGTACCTGCGCCTCCCGGAGATCCAGGGCGTCAGCCGCATCCTGGCCCACTGGGCCTGCTACAAGGCAAGGAGGGAAGGCTCTGGGGGGTCCTCGGCCATGCTGGGGCCGTGCTGACAGCTCCGCTCCCCCCTAGGTGCAGCAGAAGGACAAATCTGATGAGGAGGTGGCTTATGCCATTAACCAGAAGCTGGGTGACACGCCAGGCATCTCCTACTCTGAGATCGCTGCCCGAGCGTACGACTGCGGCAGGACAGAGCTGGCCATCAAGGTCTGTGGCGTGTCCTGGGGGTGGTGGCACCAAGGGCTCGGGGTGACACAGTGGCTGCATGCTGACACCCTCTGTGATGGCCTCAGCTGCTGGAGTACGAGCCACGCTCTGGGGAGCAGGTCCCACTGCTGCTGAAGATGAAGCGGAGCAAGCTGGCCCTGAGCAAAGCCATCGAGAGTGGGGACACAGACCTGGGTAAGGGGCAGGGCTGGGGCTTCTGCATGCACAGAGAGGGGTCCTGAGGCAGGAGGGACTCTGCAGAACCCAACACCCAGGGGACTGCCTGCATCCAGGCAGCAAATCTCTCTTGGGAGGGACTTGGAATCTGGGGGAGCCCGTTCATGGCTTTGTGCTGATGGGGCTGATGGGGTGGTGGGAGCTGCTTGAGCCCTGCGGGGCAAGGGGGGAGCAAAGGGCTCTGCCCTGCACGTGGATGCACGCTCACAGCCCTGTCAGAGCTGAGGACTGGCTGAATGTCCCAGCAGTGCTCCCCTGGGCAGCTGTGCTGGGGAAGAGTCCTCATCCCCTGTCCTAAAATGCTCCTTCTGCCCCAGTCTACACTGTCGTGCTGCACCTGAAGAACGAGCTGAATCGTGGCACCTTCTTCATGACACTGCAGAACCAGCCAGTGGCTCTGAGCCTCTACCGCCAGGTGAGGGCTGCCCAGCCGTGTGCACACCTGGCTGAGGGGATCCCACAGGATGGCCAGGGTTGGAAGGGATCTCAAGAATCATGAATCTCCAACCCCCCGCCACAGGCAGGGCCACCAACCTCCCCATTTAATACCAGTCCAGGCTGCCCAGGGCCCCATCCAACCTGGCCTTGAACATCTCTAGGGATGGGGCATCCACAGCCTCTCTGGGCAGCTGTTCCAGCACCTCACCAGTCTCTCTGTAAAGAACTTCCACCTGACATCCAACCTACATCTTCTCTCCCCAACCCCTGTGTGCTCTGCCCTCAGTCCCCCTTCCCACTTCCTTGGCTGGGGACTTGGGAGCCATGCAGTGTGGCAGATGCAGCTCACTGTTACCTGCAAGCCCTCACCTCCACCTATTGCTTCCCAGTTTTGCAAGCACCAGGAGCGAGAGACGCTGAAGGACTTGTACAACCAGGATGACAACCACCAGGAGCTCGGCAACTTCCACGTCCACTCCAGCTACTCAGAGAAGGTCTGTGTCTGGCAGCACGGGAGGAGCATAGTGAAAGAGGTGGGGGCTTGTTGCCCTGGGGCCCTGTGTTGGAAATCATCAGCCCCTCCTGTATGTGATGGAGAGCTCCAGCTCCCCCCAGGGTGAGGAGGGATCCAGCCCTCTGCCCATCTTGTGTGATGATCAAGGCAGGGCATCATCCAGCCCCCCAGCCCACTCAGGGGAGGCCCTGCCCTGTGCCCCGTCCCTTGCAGTGCAGCATCTGTGTTGGCATGGGGTGATGTGGCTGTTTTCCGTCTCCAGCGCATCGAAGGGCGGGTAGGAGCCCTGCAGAATGCTGTGGATGAGTACTACAAGGCCAAGAATGAGTTTGCTGCCAAGGTGAGCGTGACCAGGGCTGCGAAGGTGGCCCTCCCCTGCTCTCACTGCAGCTGGGCAGCGCTGGGTTCACTGGGATCACAGCCACTGGATGGGTTACCGGGTGGGACAGTGCTGTCCCTTGCTGGGACAGAGACCCTTTAGTCTGGTGCTTTACTCCACAGGCCACAGAGGATCAGATCAAGCTCCTGCGGCTCCAGCGACACCTCCAGGAGGACTTTGACAAGCCCTACCTCGACCTCTCTCTGCACAACACTGTCTCCACTCTGATCCAGGATGGCCACCACAAGAAAGCTGAGCAGCTGTACCGGGAGTTCAAGATCCCTGACAAGCGGTGGGTCAGGAATGAGGGCAGTGCTGGACTGGAGCTGTGGGTCACAGCTTAGGGGGCACAGTTGGTTTTTCCTGGTGCCCCATATGGGCGTTAAGCTGTGGGCTGGGAGCAGGGGCTGCAGGGTGCTGGCAGCCGTAAGAGCTGTTCTGGTGTCCCCAGGTACTGGTGGCTGAAGATCAGTGCCCTGGCCACCCGCGGGGACTGGGAGGAGATGGAGAAGTTCTCCAAGAGCAAGAAGTCGCCCATTGGGTACCTGGTAAGAGCTTTCCTCGCTGGAGGAGCCCCTGTCCACGCTCCCTGCCAGCCCTTCTCTCTGTCCACACCCACACTCAGTGCTGTCCTTGAGGAGGGGGTGGGCAGGACCGTCCTGTGGGGCTGCACTGCCCTGTGGGGCACAGCGGGAGCAATCAGGGGAGTCTGGTGTGGGACAGCAGGGTCCCTTCACCCCACTCCTCTCCTCCTCAGCCCTTTGTGGAGATCGCTGTGAAGCACCACAACCGCTACGAGGCCAAGAAGTATGCACCCCGTGTCACCCCTGAGCAGCGGGTCAAGGCCTTCATCCTTGTGGGGTACGTCGGCTGGCTGAGCCTGGGGGGGCAGGAAGGAGCCAGAGGTATGGCTGGGCTCAGAGCAGCTGGGGGATCACAGCAGCACTCCCAGGGCTGTGGGCTTGGGGTGCTCTGGAGGAATAAGGAAACATCCTTCTGCTGCCACTGGGGGCTGCAGGGGGTGCCACCCAGACCCTTCTTTTCTCACCGCGTGGGGGGAAACGGTGCCTTCAGCCCCCGCTTTGCCCCCAGGGACCTGGAGCAGGCGGCTGACGCTGCCATTGAGCACAAGAACGAAGCCGAGATGAACCTCGTCCTGTCCAAGTGCTCTGCCTCCACTGACAGCGCCGTGATGGAGAAGCTGAACCGCGCTCGTGCTCAGCTCCTGAAGAAGTGAGCCCCGGTGCCCCCCTCTGTGTTGGGGGGCAGGAGCTCGACCCCCCCATATTCTGAGGTCAGGACCCTCGCAGAGCTGCAAGGAGGGGTCCGCGGCCGGGAGCACCGCGGTAGCGCTGCGCTGTGGCTGCCTGCAGCCCCCTGCAGCCCCCTGCCCCCTCCTGCTGCCCCCCCTCAATTCTCGGTCAATAAAGAGCGAGAGCCTGCCGTGCTGCGTCCTGGTGGGGGAACGACTCCCGGGATGGGTGGGTGCCCCGGGGGGCCAGGGAGCGGTGCTGAGGCTGCGGGGGCTCAGTGGGGTGAGCGGGGCTCCGCGGTGCGGGGGGGCTGGGTGGGCTGTGGGGGTCCCGTGGGCTCCCAGGGAGCGCTGGGGCGGCTCGCGGCAGGTGGCTGCCCCGCGTCCTCCCGGCCGCCAGGGGGCGCTCAGCGCGGGGTGGGGCCGCTCTAACCTCCACCCGCTTTGCCGCAGGCGCGGGGCATTGTGGGGCGGCAAGATGGCGGCGCTCAGCGCAGGGCGGACTGCGGTCAGGGTGAGGGGTTGGATGGGGGGGCGGCGGCGGCCCGGGACGCGGGGTGTCGGTGTGGGATCGGGTTCGGATGCGGGTCCGGGGCTCCGGGGTCGGCCGGGAGGAGCGCGGTGAGTTGGGGCCGCTCCGACGCCGTTTAACCGCCGCTCTCCCCGCAGGGCCTCCTGCGCGCCCCGCGCGGCCTCTGCCGGCCTCTGGGCGCCTCCGCCGCGCTGCAGCAGATCCCGCGGGCCAAGGTGAGCGCAGGGCCGGGTCTGCGGCGCCGTGTGACAGCTCAGCACTTCTGTCTTTGTGTCCCGTCTGTAATAATTGGGTGGTCGTTAACGTAGAGCGATGGGGGATAACGCACCGCCGTTGTTATTAGGCGTTGAGGGAGGAGCTCGGTGCTGGTGGCTCACATCGGTGCTGAGGGACAGGGTCAGCACTGAGATTGCTTTCCCCTGCACTGCAGCTCGGGCTGTGCTCCCTCGTTTGGTGACCACAAAGATGATCAGGGTCTGCAGCACCTCCGCTATAAAGACAGGCTGAGGGAGCTGGGCTTGTTCAGCATGGAGAAGAGAAGCTGCGGGGTGAATCATTGCAGCCTTCAGCACTTCAAGGGAGTCAACAGACAGGAGGGGAGTCAGCTCTTGGGAAGGGGAGATGACAGCAGGACGAGGGGAATGGTTGGAATTGAGAGAGGGCAGATTTCAGTTGGATGTCAGGGGGAAGTTGTTTGCTGTGAGAACGGTGAGGTGCTGGAACAGCTGCCCAGAGAGGCTGTGGATGCCCCGTCCATCCCTGCAGGTGTTCAAGGCCAGGTTGGATGGGGCCCTGGGCAGCCTGGGCTGCTGTGAAATGTGGAGGTTGGTGGCCCTGCGTGTGGCAGGGAGTTGGAGCTTCATGATCCTTGAGGTCCCTTCCAACCTGGGCCATTTTGTGATTCTGTGTGACACTTTTGTCCTTTCCCATCACCATCCAGACTCTGCAGTCAGTTCTGTGAGGTCTCTGCCAGCTATGCAGGGAATTAGTGGCTAAGGAGGCAGGGATTAGTAAAAGCACTGTGTAAAAATAGGTGCCAGCTCAGTGGGAGGGCGGTGGTGGTGGTGGGGAGTGGTTCAAGAATCACTTCTGAGACCAACTCTGCTTCATACATTCAGGCTTGGTCTTCTGCACAGAAGCAATGATGGATGGTGATAGGACAAGGGGGAATGGTTTTAAACTGAGACAGGGGAGGTTTGGGTTGGATATGAGGAGGAAGTTTTTCAGCCAGAGGGTGGTGAGGCACTGGAACAGGTTGCCCAAGGAGGCTGTGGATGCCCCATCCCTGCAGGCATTCAAGGCCAGGCTGGATGTGGCTCTGGGCAGCCTGGGCTGCTGGTTGGCGACCTGCACACAGCAGGGGGTTGGAACTGGATGAGCACTGTGGGCCTTTGCAACCCAGGCCGTTCTGTGGTCTGTACTAAGGTTGGGTGCTTTGATAAAGTGTGTAATTAGTAAAAAGCAGCAGGGCAGTGTCAGCACACAGCAGGGTGGGACTGCACACGGGAAGGCTGAGGTGATCCTGCAGACAGAAAGAAGAAATGAAGGAACACTTCGTAAAGCAGGACTGCACTCAGCTCCAGCAGTGTGTGCTCCCCGTGTGTGCAGAGGGGGGATCGCAGCAGGGGAGCTGTGAGGGAGGGTCTGGGATGGCAGTGGGGCAGGGGCTTTGTGATGCATAAGTGTGCGAAGGGTGCAGGTGTTCTCCATGCTGTTAGTAACCTTGCCTTGCTGCATGCAGGTTAGGGATGACACTGGGTTACGTGGGAGGTCTGAGTGTCGTTTTCTCTCCTTGCAGTCAGAAAATGCAAAGTCAGAGGGCACGTTCCAGGTCACCATGCTGCCTGGGGACGGCGTGGGCCCGGAGCTGATGCACGCCGTCAAGGAGGTGTTCAAGGTAACATCTGCTGCCTCTCAGAGCAATGGGGCGGAGGACAGCAGCTGCAGAACTGCTTAAAGGCACTGCTGAGCCAGAGGGCAGCCTACCTGTGTCCTCCAGCATGGAACAGTGTGGGTTGTGAACAGTCTGAGGTCTTTCCCTTGCCATAGAAGAGGTTCAGCTTACGCAGCTCTTGCAAATGATTCATTCTTCATCATGAAGACATTCCCAGCTGTAACTCAGGGCAGGAGTGAGAATTAAGCAGTTCTGTATTCTAATACAGAACGAGTTGGTCACAGAATAGAAAACAAACAGTGTTGTCTGCTGTGTTAGAAAACTATAATGACACAGAGGGCAGGGAGTTCTGGTATGAAAGGTGGCAGAAAACACCATTATGCAGTCACAGCTGAAATGTAAGGAGTGACCCTGAGCTCGGGTTCAGCAGACTGTGTTCAGTTCCCTCTTCTCCCCGAGGAGACGCTCTGTCTGCTTTAAGCTTCGTGCCTCAACTCTCTGAGCCCCGTGGCCGTTTGCCTTCTGTAGTGTGTTTAAAAGGACCCCGCTGAGGCAGTGGCTGTTGCTCTTTGTCTCTGGTGCAGGCTGCCAGCGTGCCCGTGGTCTTTGATGAGCACCACCTGAGTGAGGTGCAGAACATGGCCTCGGAGGAGAAGCTGGACGAGGTGGTGGACTCCATGAAGGAGAGCAAAGTGGCCATTATAGGTGAGGACCTGTGCTCACTGTCTGTCCAGCAAGGAGAGCTGCACCTATCTCAGAAGCTTTAGATGCTTTCAGAGGGCAGGATTTCTGGAGTTAGGAAATGTGTTCTCTTTAAACAAAGAAGCAGTTTACCTCTACTTGGTTTCCTTAGCTCATCAATGGAGAGGTTATATCCAACTTCTGCTTCTGAAAGGAGACCTCCTAGCATGGCCTGCAGAAACAAAGGGCCTCATCTGGGTCGAGTGTAATGCAAATGGCTCTTTGTCCTGTCTAAGGCTTTATGGAAAGCCCCCTGCTGCCCTCTCACCCAGGTTCAGACCGTGTCCTTAGCAGCTGTCAGTGCACTCTGTGTTCTTACTGCTGCTCGGTGTTGTCCCTGCAGGCAAGATCCACACCCCCATGGAGTACAAGGGAGAGCTGGCTTCTTACGACATGAGACTGAGGTGAGCTCAGCACCTGCTTGGCTGCCAGGGCTGGGAACTGACACAGCTCTGAGAAACCCGCTTTGCACTCAGTCCTGGTGTTGTGGCGCTGCACTGGGGCTGAAGCAGACGAGTCCAGGGAAAATAATCCAAAACAGTTTCACTCATTAAGTCCTCTGGGAACGTATGAAAGGCCCAACCAACTGCTCTTCGCTGAATTAGAAAGATCGAACAGGGGTGTTTGTCTATGCAGTAAATTAGATTTTTAGACTACCAACAGTTCAGAGTCTATTCAGATCAGAATCCAACAAAAGTGAGAGGCTCCTGCACTGGTCCCACCCACCAGACGAGTTTTGGTGGTAGCCAGTCCCGTAGAAAATATCAGACTCGAGTGGAATTTCAGTTTGTGCTTATTTATGGTTAGCTCATCATTGGCGGGTTCACATATCAGCAGGAAGCCAAAGATACTGAGAAGCTGTGGCTGGGAGCTGCCTCTTCTGAGTGCCAGCCCACTGCCTGCTTTCCTGGGGGGCCTTTGGAGTGGGGGGAGGTGGCAGAGGAATGGACACAGTGAGCTGCCTCCACACAGGGCAGTCAGAGCCAGGCTGTGACGAGGTGAGACTGGCTCTGTGTCCTTGAGATCAAGGGTAGCTGGAGCAGTAGCTATGGGATGACACCTCAGGGGACAGATTGCTGTTTGCACCGTGCCCTGCTGTCACCCCCAGTGCCTGCCAGGAGCAGCCCCTGTTCCAGGAATAGCTCATGATGAAGTGCTGATTCTGCTGCTGCTTCTGTTGCAGGCGCAAATTGGACTTGTTTGCAAACGTCGTCCATGTGAAGAGCTTGCCAGGCTATAAAACACGCCACAACAACTTGGACCTCGTGATCATTCGTGAGCAGACAGAGGGGGAGTACAGCTCTCTGGAGCACGAGGTACGAGAGCTGCTTCTGCTGCTGCTGGCCTCACGGGGGTGGGGGATCTGGTGTGGCTGTCCTCAGTGCCTGGGGCACACAGGGCTTCCCACATTGCCCAGCAGTGCCCAGGAATGCCTGGAGCTGCAGGGCTGACAGCAGTAGGAGATGGGTGAGAGCAGTTGGTGATCTGAATGCACACAGACAGCAGCAGGCACACTGGTGGGCTGCAGGAGGGGTCATGCCTGAAAAAAGGCCTCGTGGAAGTTGAGGGAGCTCTTGCTGAGGCGGTCCAGCATGAGGCAGAGGCTCCTGGTTGGTCACAGAGCACCGGGCTGCTGGCAGTGCAGGTGGGCGAGGCAGGGCTGCAGGCTGTGTGTGCCAGCTGCTCACACTCCCCTTCGTGTGCAGAGTGCGAAGGGGGTCATCGAGTGCCTGAAGATCATCACCAGGGCCAAGTCGCAGCGCATCGCCAAGTTCGCCTTCGACTATGCCACCAAAAAGGGGCGCTCCAAGGTGACAGCTGTGCACAAAGCCAACATCATGTGAGTGCTGCAGGGACACGTGGGGGCGGCTGTCGGGCACTGCCACATCCCAGGCCTTGCTGCTCTCGGCTCTTGGTCCCCATTAGAGCAATGCCAGATGCTGGTCTGGCTCCAGAGAGGCTGGGCATCTCCTGGCAGCTGTTCTTCCCCTCTGTGCGGCCTCACTGAGGCCTGACAGCTGCATTCTGAAAGCTGTCATCTGAGCAGGGAAAAGCTCTGACATGGAGGCTGTTCTGTGTGCTCCCCCTGGGCTCTGATTTCACCACTTTGTTTCTGCAGCATGAGCTGCCCTAGGGCTGCCTGCCCCCATCCCTGCTGTGCTGGGACACCAACTGCTACTGGAGTCTCACTTCTGTAATGATTGCACTGCTGTCCTGCAGAACCCTCACAGTGGGTTCTTTGTCTCTCAGGAAATTGGGTGATGGACTCTTCCTGCAGTGCTGTGAGGAAGTGGCAGAACTCTACCCCAAGATCAAGTTTGACACCATGATAATTGACAACTGCTGCATGCAGGTGAGGATCCTTACCCAGAGCCGTTCTGCAGCTCCAGCTGCTGCTCTGCCTGCTGGGCAAGGGGATAAAATGCTGACACCTGAAGAGTGCTGCTGCTGTCAGCTGCCAGGTCTGGATGTTTGCCCGTGTCCTGGCCTGAGGTTTGCTCTATGCAGGAGGGAGCACAGACTGGGTGCCCCGGGCCTTTCCCTGCTCTCCACCAGCTGAGGTCAGGAGCTGCAGGGGACCTGGAGCTAATGCCTGGGATGGACTTGCAAAACTGCCATGTGCTGTGGGTCTGTGGCACCTCGCCCATCTCAGCAGGGCTCCCTGCTGTTACCTGACCACATTTCAGGTTGTGCTTGGGGTTCTGCTGTTGAACGAACTGCAGCCCCTGCTTTCTGAGGGCTGTCATGCTGCCTGCTGCCAGTGTCGGCTCTGACTGCTGCACAGGGCTCACATCTTCCCTTCCCTCCACACAGCTGGTGCAGAACCCCTACCAGTTCGACGTCCTGGTGATGCCAAACCTCTATGGGAACATCATCGACAACCTGGCAGCTGGTTTGGTGGGCGGTGCAGGCGTGGTGCCCGGGGAGAGCTACAGTGCTGAGTACGCCGTCTTCGAGATGGTGAGCAGGCAGCTGTGCTCCCAGCAGCCCCCGTGTGCTTCCCCAGCACCCGGCAGCACTGGGACTCTCCTTCACCCACTTGTCCTCCCGCAGGGCGCCCGCCACCCTTTTGCCCAGGCTGTGGGCAGGAACATTGCCAACCCCACAGCCATGCTGCTCTCGGCCTCCAACATGCTGCGGCACCTCAAGTACGTGCTGTGGGGGGGGTGGGAGGGCAGCACTGCCCTGCTGGGCCACAGGCTGACGCTGACCTGTGGCCACTGTCCTCTCCCCAGCTTGGAATTCCACTCCAACTTGATCTCAGATGCGGTGAAGAAGGTGATCAAAGTCGGAAAAGTGAGTGCTGGGGGGCGGCCGTGTGCGTGCCTGTATCCTGTGTGTGAGAGCTGGTGGTAGAGCACAGCACTGCGTTGTCCCATAGGGACAGTGCCAACCTCTGACCTCCCTCTTCTCCACCCAAGGGACTGCCTCAAAACTGCGTGTGCGTCCCGTGTGTGTGTAGCTGTTGTGTAGTCAGCTGTAGTCAGCCCCTCTGCTTGTCTGGGTTTGCTGCCTTGGGAGGCTCTAGCAGGGCTGGGGGACATCAGATGGCCTCTTCCTAGCTTGCCCTCCTCTGGGCTCTCTGTCAGGGCACATAGAGGGAAGCTGCTTTCCTCTCCTCTCTTCTCCCTTCTCCCAGTGATTTTGCTCAGTTCACAATCACGTTTCTCCCTTGTTTCTCCCCTTCCCTGTGTTGGATTTTTAGGTTCGGACGCGGGACTTGGGAGGTTACTGCACCACTTCTGACTTCGTCAAGTCTGTGATTGACAACCTGCACCCCCACTATGGTGCCTAGGAGCCCCACTCGCCCGCGGCGAGCCCTGGGACCTCACTGCGCTCTGCAGCAGCCCCCCCCCCCCCACTGTAGCTTAAAGCCCCACAGCCATCCTTCCCCTGCCCTCGCCCTGGCTGCCTGCTCCCTGGGCCTCGGGGGAAGGAGGGGGCTTTCCTCTTCCCCAGCCCAGTGCCCACCCAGAGCCATGGTGGCTTCAACTCCCTTCTCCCCATAGCCCAGAGAGGTGCTGGGGGAGGTGGCACCCCCCAGACACACCCCAAGCAGGCAGCTCTGCAGAACAGTGGGACCTGGGGTCCTGCCGATATCTTCCCTTGCCCTCAGAGGCTTTAGCAATAAAAAGGACCCCAGGGCTGAGGCCCTGTGCTGGGGGTGTGCAAGGGCAGCTGTTTGGTGGGAGCATCCTGTGTGGCACAGTCCTACGTGCAGCAAAGGGAGATGCAAGGTTTGAGATGTGAGCTGCCCCAAGAACAAGGGCAGCCCAGAATCAGCCGTGTGTCCTGTCTTTATGAGTGGCTGGTGGCTGTGCCTGGGGCTGTGAGCTGAGCCCCTCTTCCCAGGGCAGCAGCTGCTCACAGCTCCCTGCTGCTCCTCCTGTGCTTGCCCAACCACGGGAAGGTGGGGGTCAGGTGGCCGCCTGGGCTGAGCCCTGCTGACCTTGCAGGGGGGATGGGGCTGCAGGAGCTCTTGGTGGGACCACGGGATGCTCTGCCCCACAGCTGTGTGTGTGAGTGAGTGTCTGGGACATGTATTTAACTAACTGTGCTTTGTATTTTGTATGCAAATAAAGGGTCCAAATGCTCCCCCCCACCCTGATGCCATTTCCCCACAGCACTGCTTGCTGCCTGCACCCCAAATCACCCCACCAGCGTCCTGGCAAGGGGCAGGGCCTGTCCTGGGCTGCAGCTGGGACACAACCCCCTCCCTGCAAGGAGTGGGCAGAGCAGCTGCCTTACACTCCTCTCTTCCTTCAGCCATCTCGTAGTGCAGCTGCTGGAAGCAGAAGCAGCAGCAGCTTCAGTTAGGGTTCTGTAAGGCAGAGGGAGCTGCGAGCCTGAGCTGTAAGCAGGGGCAGAGATCCTTAGAGACAGTGCACAGAGGAGCACTCGCCAAAGCCCAGAGGGGTAGATGAACACCTGCAGCACGTTGTTGGACACCCCCAGCCCTTCCCCAGCCACAGGGGCCACCGCCAGCCCAAGGCAGCTCAGGGCCTCTCCCTCCTCACTGACGCTGCCTTTCCTTGCAGGTGCGCACAGCAGACATGGGTGGATACGCCACGTCCCTGGATTTCACCCAAGCTGTGATTGGGGCCCTGGATGTGTAGGGCTGCTGCTCATCCTCTGGCAGCCCTGCTGCTCCCACTGCCTGCTCGGTAATTTATTGCTTCCCTGTAATAAAGCAGCCTCTGCAATGTAACGGGTGCAGCAGAGGTGGGCGGGGGGGGCAGCCTCAACCTCTCCTTGCTCCATCCCCACCTGTGTGCCATCTGCAGCCCCTCCTGGCTGCAGGTAACAGCACACTGTGCAGTAGGCACAGCACTGTGCCTCACCTGAGCCATGAGCTCCCAGCAGCACTGCTCCTCCCAGGGCAGGGCACACAGCTCAGTGCTGGTGTGGAGATACAGCACAGTTACCTGGCACTAAACAAACTGGGACTCTGTGAGGCCCGGCAGCAGCAGGAAAAGACCAGGAGGGCAGCTCAACACCAACCTGAGCCCTTTATTAAGGCTCAGTCACACTGTGCAGTTTCCTGCCCTCTGGCAGCCATGGATGGCACACAGCTGCAGCTGCTCCAGGGGGCTCTGAAAGGCACGAGGAGCATTGCCCACGCACGGCCATGAGGCAGCAGGGCCTGGCCACGTGAGGCACAGAGCACAACGTCCAACACCTGTGAGTTGCAGCCCTGGGCACGCAGCTGCCAAGAAATGGACGGCAGGTGATGAGCTGCAGCCACACCAAGCCAGCCTCTGAGTCTGCAGTGCTGGAGCACAGCCCTGCTCCAGCTGCTGCCGCTGCCCTAATCCTCCTCCTCCAAGTCCTTGGCCTTTTTCTTTTTCTTCTTCTCCAGCGGGGCAGCCTCTCCCATCAGTTTCCTTTTCTTCTTGGGCAAGGGCTCCTCCTCCAGCCCATTCTCCTCTGGCTCTGTGGCAGCTTCCTGCTCCTGCTCCTTCTTCTTCTTCTTCTTTTTCTTTGGCTCTATGTTGTTTTCCTAAGAGAAAACATACAGTGAGGGCCCAGCCTATGGAGCACAAACACTGGCTCCTTGCAACCAAACTCCCTCCCCCAGCTGGGTTGGGGGCCCAAACATCCCCCAGCCCTGTAGGGCAGCAGGGCAAGAGCAGCAGACACTGCTGGGGCAGCCTGGATGTGGACACTGCAGTGGGGCCACCACCAACCCACCCCAAAGGGCCCTCAGAGCCTCTGCCCTCACCTCTGCCTCCTGCACAGAGTTCTCCATCTCCTCCGCAGCTGCAGCCAGAGCCTCCAGGCGCCGCTTCTCCCGCTTCTTCTTCTTCTTCTCCTTCTTTTCCTGCTTCCTTTTGACCTCAGCCACCACCTCATTGGCCTGCGGGGAGCAGAGGAGCACTCAGTGCAGGGCCAGACTCCCACCCGCCCCCTTCCAGCAGTTGGTCCAGCAGTCGGATCAGCCTCATTAAATCAGTTTTTTGCCTCCACAGTAAATCAGGTGGGCACTTCACATCACATCCGACAGCAACGCCTGCCCGGCCCAGCAGCCCCACCTCCCCCACAGCCTCACCTCCACCATGGCCTCCTTCATGACCTCCAGGTTCTTGCGGGGCGGCTCTCCGGTCTCATAGAACGCCAGCCGTTCCTCCACCTGCTCCCTCAGCTTGTCCCCAAACACGCTGGTGGGAACCTCTGCAGGGACAGGGGGGCTCAGCACCCCTCACCCCACCCGAGCCCGGCGCCCTCCTCCCCCATCCCAGCGCTCTGCTCAGCCCACAGAACTCAACATTCACTCCGTGAAATGCTGTTGACGAAAAATCTTCCCATCACAGCAGAGGCTGCTTCCCCTGCCCTGCCCCGCTCCCCCCCCACCCCCAGACCTGAGAAGCAGTCGATGCGGGAGGCGATGGTGCATTTGTTGGCCAGGTAGCGGGAGATGCGCCCTTTGTTCTTGGCGGCCGCGCGCCCGATGAAGGTGGAGTGAAAGATGAGGCCGTACTTGGGGGTGTTCCCTCGTGTCTTCAGCGCCCTGCGAGAAGCCCAGCGAGCCATCGGGGGCAGCCCGAGGCTGAGGTGCCCTGATGGGAGCTGCTGCCCCTCCGCCACCCCCAGCCCAGGCAGCCCAGGGGACGCCGCCCGCCCCCGTCCCTCTGACCTCACACAGCACACTCGGCACGAGCTGCTGAGCCGCAGTGGTCGCTCAGGGGCTGGGGCTGGCAGCTCACACGCAGCCAAGGCCAGAGCAGCCCGGTGCATCGCAGCCAGCAGCCCAGGGACCCGCCATCACCGCGACCACCCCACAGCGGTACCTGAACAGGGCTTTCTCAGCCCCCAGGATCTGCACCGTCGAGGCCGGGTACTTGGCCAGGTTCGTCAGGCTGCCGGCGTGGGAGATGAGGCGGGCGCCCACCTGCAAGGGGACACGGGGTTATGGCTGCCCCCAGAGCACCGTGGGGGGAGCAGCACGCAGCACCCAGGCTGGGATCAGCAGTGAGGACTGTCAGCACAGCAGCTCAGTGGATTGACAGATTCACTCAGACATCATCTCCAAGGCTGGGGGGGGAGAGGGGCACGTACTCACTCACCACCTCCCCGATGAGGGCTGAGAGGCTGGGGGCCACCTGGCTCATCTTGGAGCGCAGGTACTCCTGCAGGCCCTTACGGTACTCAGACAGAGAGATCACGCGGCTGGAGAAGCTCTCGATGTTGATGAGGTCGATGGGGGAGATGTCCATCCCTGGGGGAAAGCAGTGTCAGGGAGCTGAGCTCTGCCAGGAGCTCTACGGGCTGTGCAGAACCCCACTCACCCATGGAGGAGCGGGACGCCTCCAGGATGGCCTGAGCCTTGGCACCATCCATGACGATCTCCTCCAGCCCCTCCAGGCTCTCCTCGCTCAGCTCCTTGCGGTTCCCGATGAATTTGGCCAGCCGGCAATACGTGTAGTTCTCAGAGACGATCTTGATCAGCTCGGGGAAGTGGTACCCGTACCACTCCCTGCAGGACAGCATCAGCACAGGCACCGACCCCACACCGACCCCACGCCCCCCCAGCCCCCCGTGTCCCCCCGGTCACAATCCGGCTGCAGCACCGCCGCCCCAGCCGGGGTGTTACCCGAGGCCGTGCTCTCCCTCCCCGTTCTATGCAGGCGGTTGGAGATGCAGCCACCTGCGGTAAGCGTGGGGAGGCCCCGCACCACCACCCTGCCCAGCCCCCGCTCACCGCACGCGCATGGAGAAGGTGTTGATGTCCTTGTCCAGCTGGTCCAGCAGACTGATGGACTGGATGATCATGTTGTCCACGCGGTTCACGTTGAACTTCACCTTGGCCCGGGAGTAGCTGTGGCCGAGGCCGAGCTGCGCCTTGGAGGCCGACTGCGCCGTGAGGCCCTTCACCAGCGCGTGGAAGTGCAGGCGGATCCCTGCGGGGGGACAAACCGTCACCGGCCCCGTCCCCGCCCCCACGGCAGCCCCGCGCCCCACAGCTCGGCTCACCCCGCAGGATCTCGGCCACCACGCCGCCGGTCTGGCACTGGTAGCCCAGCTCCTCCAGGATGGCGGCCCCGATTTTGGCGTCTCCCACCCCCAGCAGCGCCTTCTTCTTCTTGGCCGGCATCGACGTCTCCAGCAGCAGCCGCAGATCCTCGTGCAGGATCCCTGCGGGACGCGGAGCGGCGCTCAGCGGGGCGGGCCGGGAGCCGCACGGGGCGGCCGCGCGCCGCGCTCACCCTCGGAGACGGCGTTCATGTTCTCCAGGGCGGCCTGCGCGGATTTGAACGGGGAAAACGCCACGAGCTTCACCACGTTGTGGAACTTGCCGACGGTGAGCACGCTCTCCTCCACCTGCGACGGGACGCGGTCACGGCACGGAGCGGCGCGCGGGGCCGCCGAGCCCCCGCCCGCGGCCCGGCCCGGCCCGTACCTGCGGCAGCAGCAAACCGATCTCCTCCACCTCGCGGACGGCGAACAGCGCGTAGCCGGCGGCATGCTCGAACAGCGCGTGCAGCAGCACCTGAGCGAGCGCCGTCGTCAGCGCGGCCCGGCTCGCCCGCCAGGCCCCGCTCCGCTCCGCCCCGCCGCGACGAGGGCGGCCCCGCTCCGCGCCCCGCGGCCCCCCGGCCCGCTCCCACCCGCTCCCCCCGCCCGGCGTTGCGGCCCCGGCCCGATGCGGGCGGATTGGGCCCCGCGCGCCCCGCGCTCACCATCGTGCCGCCAGCGCCGCCCGGAACTGAGAGCGCCGCACCGGAAGCCCGCTTTGCCGGAAACACGTCCGGCCCGCACGCAGCCAATCGGCGGCGGCACCGCCGCTCCCTCCAACCAATCAGCGCAGGCTTCCTCTAGAAGGGCGCCCCCAGCCAATGAGAGTGCGACGGGCACGGATCCGCCTACCTTTACTCTCTCGGCCAATCAGAGACGCGCACTACAGCTACCGCCCGCCCCCTCCCGCTCCCAGCCAATGGGCGCGGCCGCAGCGCTTTCCCCGCGTTCCGCTCGGTTCGCTCCGCGCACGTGCGCTCTCGCGCCCCCCCCCCCCGGCATCCCAACCGCGGCCGAAAGAAGGCGCAGAGCCGCGTGGCTGCACGAGGCTTTATTAGGCGGGAGGGGACGGGGGCGGTTTCCCCGCCGGGGGGAACAGGCGGTGCTCCGGGGGGTCCTACGCCACGAAGTGCCGCTGGAGTTGGAGCAGCAGCTCCGGGGTGAGCAGCACGCGCTGCTCCCGGCCGTGTCCCGGCGCGCACGGGATGGACACGCGGCCGAAGCGCGTCAGGCCCTGCTCCTTCTCGCGCTGCGCCTGCGGGACAGAGCGGCGGTGGGTCCGAGCCCCACTGAACCCCACGAGGCCCCGCGGCGCCTCCCGGGGCCGCACTCAACTCACCTTCAGGAAGGACGAGGAGGGGAACACGCCGAAGCTGGTGGGGACGCCGGCGCCCGGCTGCTGCTGCACCATCTCCCGCATGGCCTCGTCCTGCGCAGAGCCGCCCCTTCCAGCACCGCCCGCAGCCCCCGCTCCCCCCCGTGCCCCGCCCGGGCGCTGCCCGCACTCCTTACCCGCAGCGCCTCGATGCTGCCCTTCACGGCCCACAGCCGGGCCGTCTGCTCCAGCAGCCGCGCGGCCGCGCTGCGTCCTGCGGAGGTGTGAGGTGAACGCGTGGCCGCGGCCCTCGGCAACCCCTGCGCTCAGAGCACCCCGGGGTGCCAGGAGAGGCCGGGGGCCGCGGGGCTCCTGGAGAGGCCGAGCCCCAGCAGCGAGCAGCGCCTGTCTTGCCGTGCCATCCCCGGAGCGACAACGCCTCCAGCACGGCGGGGCTGCACGGGGAGCTGCGCGGCACCGTGGGCCCGCCCGGCGGGCAGGGCTGGAGGACGGGCTGGGGCTCCGCACGGTGCCGGTGCTCCCCCCCCCCCCGGCACGAGGATGGCACCGACGGCGTTCACAGCCCTCGGGCTCGGCCTCACCGCGTCCCCGCCGGGCTCACCTGACTTGGTCTGCTTGGTGTCCACCACCTTGGCGTTGGTGCTCATCTGATACAGGGTCTCCAGCAGCTGCGTGCTCTTGCGGTACAGCGTGAGCGTGGCCGGGCCCTCCCCCTGCTTGCTCTGCGGGAGGGACACCTTGGCCACCTGCAGGGGCTTCAGGCCGGCCAGCTCCAGCTTCATCTGTGCGCCCTGCCAGGGGACAGCAGTGGAACGGACAGCAGGGACAGCAGGGGGTGAGGAATAGGGGGCGATTGGGGCAGGGGGTGATGGGAGCAGGTTGGGTGTTTGGGAGGAAAGGAACAGAGGAAATGAGCATTAAAGGCAAGGAGAAGAAGGCATAAAGTGGTGCTTAGAAACAGCTGCTCCCGAGGGTGGGGGGACCCGTGGTGGCAGTGCTGCCTCACACTCTGTGTGTGGGGGGGGACACACAACCCTGCAGTGCTGCTCAGTGCCTGCCAGGCTTGGGGCTCCCCCACGTCACACCATGCAGGCACAGCAGCAGCCATGGCTGTGCCCCGTTGGGTGTAAGCAATAATCACAGCCCTGCGGTGATGCATCACCATCTGCATAATTACACGTCTGTGAATTAATGTTAGCAAAACGTTATTTAGTTAATGAGCTTCTTTGCTGCTGTTTCCTCACAGAGCTCCGTTCAGCCCTGAATGCCCCCAGTCCACACCGTGTGAAGCAGCAACCACCACCAGCAGCCAGCACTGCCAGCTCCTGCCCTGCAGTTTGGGGGGTCGTGGCAGGGTTGCCCTGCCAGCCCCACGTCCCAGCACCCCGCGCTCACCTTGAGGCGGTTGTTCTCGTTCTTGAGGTGCCTGATGGAGAGCTGCAGTGCTTCGATTTGCTGAAGGAGGAGGGGGGAATCCTTCACCTGCACCGGCCCCGTGCTGCCCCCGGCTGCCTGCCCGGCCCCCACGCCTGCAGGAAGGCACACGGTGTCACCCACACCGCGTGGTGCAGCACGGCACGGTGGGTGCTGGGCACACAGGGAGCTCAGCGCCACGATTTGTGCCACCCGAAGCTCTGCGAGGCACCACGGA